ATATTCTCAATACTCTTCTCCAACACCACAGCTCAAAGGCATCAATTCTCCTTCTATCCTCCTTGGTCATTGTCCAACTCTCTGATGCATAACAAGTGACTGCAAAGACCGTGGCCTTTATCAGACGCACCTTAGTCTCCAGAGAGACATCATTGCTCCTCAGTACTTTGGAGAGGTCCCTAACAGCAGACTTTCCCATGGCAATACATTTTTTAATTTCTTGGCTGCTGGTGCCGAGAGTGTTGACTGTGGAGCCAAACAAATCAAAGCTGTGAACAATCTCAATCTCTTCACCATCCATCCTGATGCTGCCAGTTGGTCCAGTGATGAGAATCTTTCTGAATGCTATGTTTTAATTTTACAACCCATCACCATCATTAATATTTTTTTAAAATTGTATTGGTTTTGTTATTGTTCCTGTTATGTATAGTAAAACATACACCCTTCCACAGTTCCTGTACATATAATTCAGTGCATTGGTTCCATGCTATGAGTTATGCAATCTTTCTCACTCACTTTTTCTTTTTTTACTTAATATTTGTTTATTTTAATTGTGATTTTAATAAAAGTTTGCAGAGAAGTTGGATTTTAATTGGTTCATTATTGCACATTCCCCCTCCCCCAGTTCACTTTTTTAATTTTTTTGTTTGTTTTATTATTCATTCATTATTGCACAATTACCTACCTTCCTACCCCAGTCCTTTCTGCTCTGGACTGTTGTCATATGTGTAATACCTAATCATATAGTCCTTATAAACATTTCTTCATCTGTTCCAATGCAGTGTTCAGGGTGTGAGTGCGATCTGGCTGCAACATCTGTCACCCTATTGATTGCCAAGGTTGATTCGGCTGATCTGGCTGGCTAAGTGGGTGTCCCCTTCCTCACTCACTGACCCATGTGCGTCCCTTCCAATGCCGTTCACTAGATTGAAGAGGACAGCCATCCCTGATAGAAGACAGACCGTCAGTCAGTAAAGTGTATATGAGTAACTGTCCTCCCCTGCTAGAATCTCCAAACAAGGTCTCAGGTTCAATGCAGTGTTCATTATCTATTCACTCTTATCCTATTCTTCTCCCAAACCCCCAATATTAGTCCTGCTTTTTAACAGTGATGCTACTCACATTTTCTGAGTTGTTCTTCCCCTATTAGCAAAAACTCACTAGCCTGTAGGGTTCCTATCTTTCAAGTTGCTGTTGCAAATTTTATCTCATATAGATAGAAGTTTTTTAAATAAATGTTTTATTGTAATGTTTTTATTTGAGTTCATTGTTGCACATACATAGATGATTTTTAAGAGAGCATAATGCTCAGCACTGGCATTCTTGATGCCTCAAAAAAAAAGTCCTCAAACTCATTGCAGCTGAATCAGAACCAACTCATAGTTGACCTTCCATTGAGTTTTTGGAGGCTCTAATTTACATAGGAGAAAATTATTCATCTCTTGGAGGACAGGGTTTTGAAGCTCCATCTCACATACTTTGTGCACAGTGACCAGGCTGTACTAGTCCTTGAAGAAGGACATCACGCTTGGAAAGGTGGAGGGACAATACAGGAGAGAGAGAACCTGGATGAGATGGATTGACACAGTAACTGGGCAATTGGGTTAGGTGTGATGGATTCCGTGAGACTGGCTTGGGATAGGGCAAGCTTCGGAGCTGATGTACATAGGGGTCAGTAGGAGTCGTGGGTGACTCAATGATACATAACAACAACAACTCACCTTCAGAGCTCCTAATGGATTTGAACCACTAGAAAACTGTGACTTTTGAGTTAGCAGCACAACTTCCCATGGACCATGCCATCAGAACACAATTTGTGCCACCTATGGATCTTCATCTAATGAAGTTTGACTCCAATATATTGATGATCAGCACTTGCTCTGCAACTGATCCTACTTTAAAGATATCTACTTTCGCCTTCTGGAAGCAGGAGCGGCATCCACTTCTGAAATGGCTTGCCTCCGGAAACTCTATGTATGAACAGTGCTCAGTTCATAGGGTCGCTATGAGTCGTCTACAACTCGATGGCACCAAAAAACAACAACAACTTTTGCCTTATTAACTACAAAGTACTTTATTGTTGTTGTTATGTGCCATTGAGTCACTTGGAACTCCTAGCAACCCTATGTACAAGAGCCCTAAACCCTGCTCTATACTGTGCCAGACTCACTGTCTCTGATACACATACTCCCATTACCAAAGTCACTGAATAGATCCATCTCATTGAGGGTCTTCCTCTCTTGTTCTGTCCCTCTACTATCCCAAACATGATGCCCCTTCTCCAAGGACTGGTCCCGCCTTGCAACATGCCCAAAGTATGTCTGACAAAACTTCAGAATCCTTGCCTCCAAGGAGCAGTTTGGTTTCACCCTTTCCAGGGCAAATCTGTTTGTTCTCCTAGCAGTCCATGGTATATTCAACACTCTTCTCCAGCACCACAGCTCAAAGGCATCAATTCTCTTTCTATCATCCCTAGTCATTGTCTAGCTTTCTGACACATAGCACGCAATTGCAAAGACTATGGCATGGATAAGGTGCACCTTAGTCTCCAGCCTGACGTCATTGTTCTTCAGTCCTCTGTAGAGGTCCCTGTCAGCTGACTTTCCCAATGCAGTTCTGCTCTTTAGTTCCTAGTTGCTAGTACCAAGAGTATTGATTGTAGAGCCAAGCAAACTAAAACTATCAACAATCTCAATCTCTTCACCATCCATTATGATGCTGCCGAGTGGCCCAGTGGTGAGAATCTTTGTTTGCTTGATGTTGAGCTTCAATCCATATTGAATTCTGTAGTATTTGACCTTCTGCAGCAAACACTTCAGGTCCTCCTCAGTTTCAGCAAGTAGGGTTGTGTCATCTGCATAATGCAGGTTGTTGATGAATCTTCCTCCAATCCTGATGCCACATTCCTACTCATACAGCCTAGCCTCTGAATGATCTGTTCTGTATACAGATTGAAAAGGTATGGAGACAGAATACATCCCTGGTGGACACTCTTCCGGATTTTGAACCATGCAGTGTCTCCTTGCTCTGTTCAGATGACTGCCTTCTGGTTCAAGTACAGGTTTCACATAAGTACAGTGAAAGGTTCTGGAATTCCCATTCTTCTCAGTCAGCCAGTTTGTTGTGATCTGCACATTCGAACACCATTGCATAGTCAATGAAACACTGACGTTCCTCTGATAGTCTCTGCTTTCAGCCAAGATCCATCTAACATTAGCTATAATATTCCTAGTACCACGGCCTCTTCTAAACCCAGCCTGTATATCTGGCAGTTCTCTGTTGATGTGTGTTGCTCCACTCGTTTTTGGATAATTTTCAGCAGAATCTTGCTTGCATGTGATAATAATGATACTGTTAGATAATTTCCACACTCTGTCAGGTCACCTTTCTTTGGAATGGAAACACTTATCGATCTCTTCCAGTCCATTGGCCAGGTGGCTGTCCTCCAGATTTCTCGGCACACTTAGTGAGCACATCCAGGGCAGCGTCTGTTGAAATATGTCAATTGGTATGCTGTCAATTCCTGGAGCCTTGTTTTTTGCCAATTCTTTCAGAGTAACTTGAACTTCCTCCGTCCTCACCACAGGCTCTTGCATATATGTTGTTTAATGAAATTCTGTGTCAGCCAGTTCCTTCTGGTACAGTAACTTTGTATACTCCTTCCATCTTCTTTTAATGCTTCTTGGATCATTTACCATTCTACCCAAAGCATCTTTAAGTATTGTCACTCGTGGCTTGAATTTGTTTTTCAATTCTGCCAGCTTAAGAAAAGCTGAGAGAGTTCGGCCTTTTTGATTTTCTGACTCCAGCTCTTTGCACATTTCATTATAATACCTTGTTTTGTCATCCTGAGTTGCCCCTTTTTTTTTGTTCAGCTCTTTCTTGACTTCTTCCTTTAGCTTTGGCTTCTCAGTGCTCTAATGCAATATTCAGTGTCTCATCTGACATCCATCTTTGTCTTTTCTTCCTCTTCTGTCTTTGTAATGATTTTTTGCATTCTTCATGGATATTATTCCTGATATCCTCCCACAGCTCACTTGGTCTTTGATGAAAGACATTTACCCAATTAGAGAAATGACTAATAAACTCAGTGTTGCTACCCACCCTTACTAAGTGTGTCTTGACCCACCCCTTTCCCTACTCCACCAGCATACCTTAGTGGTCTTATTATTTGTTAGATAATGGAAACAAATATTGTAGCTACCTAATCTGATTGGCTTTCAGTGATCACCTCACTTCTGTTTTATTAGAAAGTACTTTAGGAAATTTAAAACAGAATTCATTTTGTGCTCCCCCACACTTTCCCACCTCCAATAACTCATACTTCCTCCCTAGCAACCTAATTTTAACATGTTCAATTACCAGACTTTTAGAGCAGAAATAAT